CGGACTTTAGGGGAAGCAAATGAAAGTGGATATCTTTCAGAATCCTTATCTTTTCTAGACCTAATGGGCCCCAGAAGGGAGAGTTAAATAACCTGTGGGAAAAGAGCTGGGAGCTAGGGAGGAACATCAAATAGGTCCATGCAGAAGAAATACTGCCAACAGGCAGCAGGGAGAAGCCAATAAACAGTCAGCACCCCAAACTCTCTTTAACTGCTACTCTTCAGATCCACATCAATGCCTTATATTGTCTCAAACCCACAAGGGAAACCATGTGGGTCAGCTGTCTGGAGCCCGGAAGAGCCTCAGAAAGAGAGAAAGGAGGACCTGGACAGGCAGAGGACCTGGACAGGCAAGGAAATGTGTAGAAAGCCTGAGTTGATTCAATTTGCTTGAAATTTAAAACACAAGCACTAGTGTTTTTCTTCTATGTAAACCACTAGGGCTTTCGATCTACTCTGTAGAATAAGAAGTTGAACCATTACGTCTCATTTGGGCTTGGCTTCTAAGTGGGTGCACTCTTAGACTGGCTAGCAGACAAGTCGGGGGAGGGCCGGATAGACCCTCCAGGTCTACAGCAGCATTGTCCATGTGGCCACTGAGCAACTTGGCTGATTGGAATTGCAACATGGAGTTTGAAGACACAGTACCTCAAAAGTAAAATATTTCCTTAATTATTTATAGAGTACATGATAGACTATTTTGTTTAATAAAACCTGTTACTAAAATTAATGCTGTCTTCTTAACATTCGGCCCACAGAACATTTTAGACAATTTCTATGGCGTATGTTTCTGTATCAGCACTAAGTAGCACCTTAAAAGATGTGTTGTTGTCAAGATGGTGATGGCATTGTCTTCTCACTTCAGGTCTTTGACCCCTTGAGATTCACTAAGGAGAATTCTGATCAGAGACATCCCTGTGCCTTCCTACCATTCTCCAGTGGCCCAAGGTGAGGCCAACTTGAAGCTGTTGAAAATACACACAAAAAGCTTACTTACATCCACTAGTCCCTCTGCTCCATTAATTCCTCCACAGAACCCATCTCTTCACAAAGGGCAATGCCACTTAATATCAAATCCCATGAGCCATGCCTCCGAAAACAATCCTGCAGTGTAAGCATTGCTCACAGGCTCAATGCTTATAGGAGGACCAGTTTTTGGGTGACTTCAACTGCTGTCTTCTTCAAGGAGGATATCACATTGGACCTCCAAATCCACATTCTTGCAAGGAGCAATGTAAGAACAAAGTCTAAAAGTTTATATATATACACCTACTCACCCCAGAAAGATGACACCCCCCCACCAACAGATCATGATGTATTAGAGTCTAATTTAGTGAACCACTGAATTTTTGTTGGGGTTACTAACAAAGGCCAAGGGTTACTTATGGGAACAGGGGTGGCTCTAAAGCTGCTGTGTCTGAGTTATTTTTCTATTACTATGAAGAGACACTATGACCAAGACAACTTATAGAAGACGGTTTACAGAGTCCGAGGGTGAATCCATGATTGTCACGATAGGGAGCAAGGCAGCAGACAGGCAGGTAGGCCTGGCACCACCTGAGCGGTAGCTGAGAACTTGCATCTAATCCACCAGCACCAAGCAGAGAGAGAAGGCTAACTGGGAATGGCTTTGAAACCTCAAAGCCCACCCCCCAGAGACACACATCTGTCAACATGACACACCTCCTAATCCTTTCCACATTCCACATTGAATGTGGAGCAAACATTCAAATACTTGAGCCAGTTTGGAGGGGGATTCTTATTCAAACCACCACAAGCAAGTGACCACTCCCAAGAGCTGCAACCCTGGAGCTCTCTGCACAACTTGCATGCCCCTGGACCGGCCTGAGAGGACTCTGGGCAGCTCCGCTGGTCAGTGTCCTCCTAAGCAGTCACTTACTGCTTCTGTAACTCTGGAGAGGGGCCCTCATGAATCTTCCAAGTCACAGCTTGTCCAGATGCGAAGTCTGTTCACCAGAGTTTCTTCAGTCCTTTCCCTTCCTCCTGGAGAGAATGTTGCAATCAGAGGAAACTGCTAAGCAGCCGTGGACTCCAGACTTGCTGTTCTAGAAACTAACCCCTTTTTCTCCCTCTACAGGAACTGCATCGGGCAGCAGTTTGCCATGCTGGAGTTAAAGGTGGCCATTGCCTTGATTCTGCTCCGCTTTCAAGTAGCTCCAGACCTCACCAGGCCTCCTGCCTTCTCCAGCCACATTGTCCTCAGACCCAAGCATGGAATCTATTTGCACCTGAAGAAACTCCCTGAATGTTAGATACAAGGGGACAATGACTAAATTTCTTTTTGTTTTTAAGTTAAATTTATAGCCCTTGGTCCAGGCGAATGGAGAGGACTCTAAGTCTGATGGGAGAATTGAAGGACCATGGGATAGGGTATCTCTACAGCTGCACATTTCCCAAAGACATTTGCAGATAACACAGGTGACCCTGGATATGTATGACTTACAGAGATTTTCAAATTGTTTTCTAACGATTACTTCCAAGCCAATCACTGGGTGACTTCTATATATTTTCTGCTTTGTAATAGTTTTCAAAATTACACAAATAACAAGAGAATGGATGTGTGCTGAATGCAAAAAATTTCCAGCACTAGGAAGTGTAGATAAAATCCCACCTTGCCTGGGCTGTACCCTCTGCCCTGACAGAACCTACTGCTTTCTCTTTAGCAGAGTAATTGAGTGTGCATTCTTCCTGACTCTTTCCTGCACATTCCATATATAATGTCTCTGTGTTTTCTTAGACATGGGATCATATCTGCACTGTTCTTGCATTTTCTCACTTAATAAAAAAATCTACCCTAATCATTACCCTAAGATTGTGCTTGTCGGCAGTGTGAATGTCCTATGACTCTTTAACTATTTTTTACCATTGGATAGTTAAATAGTTATGATTTTTAAATGTATTTAACCACTGTTCTCCGCCTCTCCCCGACCCCATGTGTGTCCAGGCATATAGAGGCCAAAGGTCAGCCTCAGGTATCATTTTTCAGATTCTATCTACCTTTTATTTTCAGACAGGATAGCTTACTGGCCTAAAGCTCACCCGGTAGGTTAGACTAGATAGCTAATGAGCCCCCATGACCTGCCCCCACGATGCCCATTATTGGTAAAATTATTAAGGCCACTCCACGTAGTTAAAAGGAAGATTTATTTAGTGGGTTTTGTTATATGTAATTTTACCATGTTAAAGTTAAAACTTTCCTTTTTAAAAAAAGAAGAAAAGGGGAAGTGCTGTGGATATCACTCTATATAAATAAAACACTGATGGCCAGTGACAAGACAGGAAGTATAGGCGGGACAAGGAGAGAGGAGAATTGGGGAAACAGGAAGAAGGAGGGAGAGACACTGCAGCCACCACCAGGACAAGCAGCATGAAAAGACGCCGGTAAGCCACCAGCCATGTGGCAAGGTATAAATTTATAGAAATGGGTTAATTTAAGATATAAGAACAGTTAACAAAAAGCCTGCCACAGCCATACAGTTTATAAGTAATATAAGCATCTGAGTGATTATTTTATAAGTGGATTGTGGGACTGCGGGGCTTGGGGAACCTGGAGAGAAGCCCTCCAGCAACAGCCCATCTTTACCTCACCAGCTCTAGGATTACAAGCATGTGCCATCATGCCTGGCTGTTTTTACATAGGTCCTGGGGATTGAACTTGGGTCCTCACACTTGCATAACAAGATTTTACCTATTGAGCTACCTATCTAGTCCCTATCTTTATTGAGGAAACACCATCTATCTTTGTTTTCTATGTTTTTTTCTTACTTATCCATATATACTTCATATAGTATGGATAATAATACTTGCTTATAATTTTTCTTTGTAATTTTTCAGATTCCTTTGCTCTTATTAACTGTAGGTATGGTATCTTTTACATATGAAACGCTTTGAATTTCATGAAGTAAGATACACCACTGCAGGGCAGTGGTGGCACTTACCTTTAATCCCAGCACTCAAGAGGCAGAGGCTTGCATATCTCTGTAAGTTCCAGGCCAGCCTGATCCACAAGCGACTCCAAGACAGCTAGGGCTGTTACACAGAGAAACTCTGTCTCAAAAACCCAAAGTAAGTAAGTAAGTAAGTAGATAGATAGATAGATAGATAGATAGATAGATAGATAGATAGATAGATAGATAGATAAAATGTATACACAATTTTCTTTATGATTTCTTGGTTTTGAATCTTGAATAAGAAAGTCTAAGCCGGGCGGTGGTGGCGCACGCCTTTAATCCCAGCCCTCGGGAGGCAGAGCCAGGCAGATCTCTGTGAGTTCGAGGCCAGTCTGGGCTACCAAGTGAGTTCCAGGAAAAGGCACAAAGCTACACAGAGAAACCCTGTCCCAAAAAAACAAAAAAAAAAAAAAAAAGAAAAAAGAAAAAAGAAAGTCTAAACTTAGAATATTACAAAACTGCCGGTGGTGGTGGCGCACGCCGGTAGGATTTGCTGAAGGAGGCGGAGGCAGGAGGATCACGAGTTCGAGGCCAGCCTGGGCTACACATTAAAATTAAAAAAAAAAAAAAAAAAAAAAAAAAAAAAAAAAAAAAAGAATATTACAAAACTATTCTGTGCATGCTCCTGGTGCTAACTATTTTTATGTAGCCTGAATGGGAACTGCTTAATGATTTCAAAGTGCATCACTCGTTGGAATCTAACTAGAGATTTAGATTTGTTTTTAAGTATAGAAGGAGCCCTTTGAAGGGCTTTCAACCAGAGGTGGAACTAGGGTGAACTGCATTTTAAGGAAGTTTTTCTGGGTGTGATTATGCATACTTATGACTCCAGCACCTGAGAGGCTAAAGCAAGAGAATCGGGAGTTTAAGAGCAGCCTGAACTACAAGAGAGAGAAAGCAGAGCAGGGGTAGCTTTGCAACTGTTTCATGGATAACAGACAAATTAGTGATAGGTTACAGAGGGCAAAAGTGGAAATCAGAAGAAAGGGACACAATTAGAAAGCTCAGACATGGACAAGAGTAGTGCCGCATATTTACCTGACAGAAGAGACACCGTAATCGTGAAGGTGGTTTGCCCAGGGCAAGGCTCATCCACTGCACTCCAGATGTGCTGACCTCTGTGATTTCCCCAAATGTGGGAAACCAACCTTCATAATTTGTTGTAGAGAGGGACTGTGTTCATGCTGTCCCCCAAAATTAAAAAAAAAAAATAGATGGTGCTTGCCAAAGGTGGTAGCAGTGGACCTGACTGGAAATAAATGTGTGAGTGACTTTGATGACATTTGAGAGAGTAAAAAGAACTTGCTGTTTGGCTGGAAGTGTGAGTGAAAGAATCCAAGATTTGAGAAACTGACCTTGGTCATCCTTTCCAATCATAGGAAGACTTTGGATGATCCTTGGAACCAGCCTTCTCTCACCAGGCGTCCATCAGTCCTTTGCATTTCTGCACATTTTGATTACGGAGAAATCCTATGTAACAGCTCTGCTATCAACCAAAGGCACTGATAAACTAGGAAGCATAGTGCAAAGAGGGAAAGTCCCTTAATCAGACAGGAACCCCATCATCTCAGGTTTAATAAAAACCCATGTCTTATCAATAATATACAAAGAGATAAAGAGAATTTAGCCTTCAGGTGCAATAATACCAACTGCTTCCTGTAGAGGCATCTGACAGGTTCACATACCCATAACACAACTCCTTCATTTCTTTTGTCTCCTCTCACAGCTGCACAACTGCACAGCTACAGAAGACCACCAACTACCCAGGGAATGATTCCCTCGCTTCACTGTGTAATTGGTATTTGACCAAGTAAAAATAGGAGCTTTGATACTTGCAGTGAGTATGGCCAGGAGTGCTTGAGCTACTCCATAACTTACAACAGTAGTTACATTTGTGAAGAACCCAGAAGCTTCTTTTATAAGTTAATCTGTAGCCTGGTGGAAATTTGGATGGTTCTTAATTATTGAGTTCTGCATGTTGTGACTCATTCATGAACAGCACTGTCCCAGATACTGTTTCTATTTTAAAGGATCTGTCACAGTCCATGCTTACTTTACAGTGTGCTTACAGCAGAGATGACTCAGCATCCCTCCCACATCCTCTATCCACTCCTGCATAAATGGAATCCTTAGCTGGGCACACAGTTGCCAGCTACTGAGTATTCTGTCTCTGTCTGTCTGTCTCTCAATCTTTCTCTGCATGTGTGTACACATGCAAGTGCATGCGTGTGTTTAGGCCAAAGACCAACAATGAGTATCTTCTTCAACTACTCTCCACCTTATTTTTTGAGGCAGAGTCTCTCACTGAACCTGAAACTAATCAATTCAGCTGGGTTGACCAGAAAGCCCCAGGGTTTGTCCTATCTCTGCCTCTGCAGCACTGGAATTACAGATGCACAAACTGCCATGCCTGGTTTTTTACCGAGTGCTGTGGATCCAAACTCAGCAGCAAGCATTTTTCCAGCTGAGCCATCTCCCCAGCATATAGCCCTTCAGGGAGACACACGATGGTTTTAAATTTGGGGCAGAACTATGAACAGAAGTGGCATGTTCTGTCCCCAGCTAATATCTTCAGAAGGAAAGGTGTGTGGCCTCCATTTCCCATTTATTTCCTCACCTGAAGACAGATGTGGCGACAGAACCTACTGACACTTACATTACTCCTGGAAGTTGTGTGTTGATGATGACAGAATAAGATAGACAGGGGTCTGGACAACACATAGAGCAAACCATCCCACTAGCTCTAGGCCATCTGCCTCCTCAAGGCTTCAATGTGAAAGAGAATTAAATTGTCTCATTGAGACCTTGTTGCTATAGAAAGCCATTATTTAGGTGAACAGTGCTTTCCTTTATCTTTCTCCAGATAATCAAGATCACTACTCTTTGCTTCAAAACTATTTAAATGTCCAACTATTTGTCATAACTTTGGTGTTAAAATGAACACTAGAAAAGGATGGGGTGACATCCCTAACCAAATAGCCACTCCCAAACCAGCAATGGCACAAGGGAACAGTCATCTTAAAGGAGCCACACAGTCCTAAACAAAATACTGTGACTTGTTCACATTGCTCTCCAGCTGCCACCCAACCTGGAGATAACACACAAGCAAAAACTGATGCTCAGTTTAAAATAATAAATATTTATTTATTATTATGTGTATGGATGTTTTGCCTGCCTGTATGACTATGCATCATGTATGTGTAGTGCCCACAGAGGAAGGTGTCAGATCCTCTAGGACTGGAGTTCCAGATGGATGTAAGCCACCATGTGGGTGCTGGGGATTGTACCCAGGTCCTTTGGAAGGTCAGTCAGTGCTCTTAATTGCTGAGCCATCTCTCCAGCCCCAGATGCTATTTCTTAAGCATTAATCTTGGTTTTCCCATGAGAATTGAAATGTCCAGCCAAGCTGCAGATTACGTCAAATGTCATCTTTTATTGTTTATCTTTTTTAAATCATGCATTGTTTAACAAATCTAAAGAAGTCATGGATATTCCTCTTGGAATCTTATTTATACTCAAAGCACAGAAATGCAATTTGTCTATGATTTAATTGGCCAATCCAAGAGCCCGTACGTAGACCTCACTGAAAATCCTTCTCAGCTTTAATGTCCTTCACAAGCATGGAAAATGGCCATAATTAGTAATGGACCCTACCGGTTTAGCAGGGCAAGTCATTTCACTCTTAGGCACATCTGTCTCAGAAGAATCTCAGGACACAAACATATAACTTTTACGCACTGGTACAATTCAAAAAATTTTATCAATTATATATAATTTATATGTAATATATGGTTTTCAGAGTCCTTTTATCATTATGATAGAAAACAATGTGAATATTCCCCTTATAAGTGGAGCAGTAAAGCATCTCTATCAATCTTTTCTAAAATATTTTCTATTAAGAGGGTTAAGACTGTAGCTCAGTGGTAGAGTAGTTGCCTAACAAGCACAAGGCTCTGGGTTCAGTTCCCTGTACTGAAAACAAAAATAAAATTTTTTTTGAAAAGAACATTGATTTTTTTCCCTTCTTTCTTCCCCTGACTCTCACCCATTGTTCTATTAATTACTATGCTGGCCACCAGGTATTGCTCAAAGGTCACTAGTGGAACAGTGCTCTGAGATCTCAAAACAGGGGGTGATAGCCACTAAGCCAGCATCCTTTTTCTTGCTGAATACTTGCAACATTAATTTGTGGAGTCCAGATCTATCTACCTACCCAAACCTAACCACACACAATTGATAACTGTAGCCATGGGTGGATCCCATGTTTACTGTCTACACTACCACCTGGCAGTGTAGAATGAGTGGATGAACATCAGCCAGAGATTGTCGAATGCCCTTAAGAATATTTCCCCAAGCCAGGGGTAGTGGTGCATGCCTTTAGTCCTGCACTCAGGAGGCAGCAGCAGATAGATCTCTGTGAGTTCAAGACTATCCTGGTCTACACAAATTCCAGGCAAGCTAGAGCTGCCTAGAAAAGAAAAAAAGCATGTTCCCCTGAAGAGCACAGGCATATGCTATCAATGAATAAAAACTTTCCACAAGGACAACCCCAACTCTGGGAGACCCAATACTTACAATTAATACTTTATAATAGAAAAGGTACCATGTGCACCATGAACAAGTGGAATTTAGTTCTAAAATGTAAAGATGGTACAACAGACAAGCAAACAAACAACCAAAATTGGTCAGTGGAATCCGAATCAACATAATAAAGAGGTGAAATCACATGGTCATCTCAGTTGGTAAAAGAAAATCTTTTAACAAAATGCAGTATTTTTTCTAGTTTAAAAAAATACTCTATAAACTGGAATTAGAAGGAAATACCTTATTAAAAACTAAGCCGGTGCCTTTAAAAAAAAATCCACAGGAAACATCATACTCTATCCTGAAAGACTGAAGACTTTCTCCTTAAATCAAGAACAAGAAAAGACATCTATTTCATTACTTTTGCTCAACAGAAGTTCCAGCCAGAACTATCCTCACACCTCCTCAGTGAGCCCATCAATGGTCACTCTTCCTGGACCCCAGACTTTCCCCAGAAAAGTAGAAGTTACTAGCTCACTTGGTTTTCTTTCAGCTGTATACACTCTGTCCTCTGCTTGCTGGTGAAGACACTTGAAGCAGTGCTAGTTGGGGAGCACTACCACCAAAACAGGTACTTGGCAAAGAGAGCACCTGTTTGTAAACTGCTTTTGGAAGTATTTGCCCCAAAGCAAGCTGGAATCCCATACTACACTGTTTCCACTGCTTAAGGATTAAATGCCAATGGATTCAACCCTTTAGAAAAAGAAAGCATACACCTTGCAAAAGCCTCAGGAGGGCTCAGAGTCGTTGACTGGTTAGCTCCACTCCTGAGAATTGGTCCTAATAACACCCATAATGCCCTCTAAGGTGCTGCTGTATAATTACAGGCAGGTCATGCTGACACAGAAAGTGTCAGAACAGAGAGATCTATGGGGAGGAGCCAGGACCCAGCCCTCAACTCTACCCTGGACAAAGCTTTGAGGACTCGGGAAGAGGAAAGGGGCACAATGATCGGGTGACTTGAGGTGCTTCGGCAAAGGACATGTTGAAGCTGTGCTTTCCAGGCATGGGAGACTCCTGGTTCAGCTGATCCAGATGGGCTCCAGACTAAGCTTAGGCTCCCCCCACCCTCCATTAAAAGGGTCCTTAGGGAGAGGTAAACAAACTCTAATACTAGCAAATGAACCATGTAACAGGGCTGGGGTAGGGTGGCAGTGGGCATGGGCAGTGGTTGGCAGGCAGATGCTATATCTATACATGGTAGCCTTGGGTCTACAGCATGGCAATTCTCACACTAGAGCTTGACACCAGACTGTTACAGCAAAACTAAGGAGCATCCTCATTTTAATGTCCATTTAGAAATAAGATAACTGAGACCCAGAAAGGCTAAGTGACTTGTTCAAAGTCAAACAGCCAATGTAAATGTCTACTAGCTGGGACTGGCTAACACGCAGGTATTCATTCAGCAAACATGGAGTATTTCCACTATGCAAGCACTGCACCTGCTCTTCTGTGGATGCCCTGTCCTCCAGAAGCTCACAGACCAGAGCTGTACCCATCTGATGAGGGTAGTGTGCAAAGAGATATCAGAGAGCCATCCCGCAGGAGGTGGAGCCTGCAGAAAGAAAACCAGAAATCCTAAGCATGGACAGCACAGGCAATGAGGCATG